AAAAAAAAAAAAAAAAAAAAAAAAAAACACATCTTAGTAAAACCAATACCTTCTCAGCTTCGCATCGAAGCTAAAATAAAATAGAACCGAGAAAGTCATGAATGAAAGAATGAACAAACTGAGGAACAGAAATTACAATTTATATAAATAGACAAAAAACGAAGTAACGACAAAATGCCGTCTAGCAAAAGAACTTTGGCTAAATCAAAACATACAAGAAATAGAACGTGATCTACTAAGCAACAACACAGGGGAAGCCTATAATAAAATTAATAAACTGCAATAGAAAACCAAGACATCCAGCAACATAGTTAAAGATAAACATTGCAAAATTTTGTTGGAAAATGAAAAGAGAGTAGAGAGGTGGAAAATGTATATGGAAGAATTATATGAACAAAAATAGGAAATCGAAAATGAAATAGATGTAAAAGAAGATAGAATAAGACTCGAAATATTGATAAGTGAATTCGAGAAGTCTCTAGGAGAACTAAGTGACATAAAATCAACAATAATTGACAATATCCCGGCTGAAATACTGAAAAATATAAGAGGAAAGACAAAACATCAATCGTTTAAAATTATTAAAGATAGCTATACTAGTGGAAGTCTACCACTGGATTTTATCAAAAGTATAACTATAAAAGTTCTGAAGAAAAACAATACAATAGAATGTGGAAACAATAGAACTATAGTACTCTTTTCTAATATATCGAAAGATCAGTTTGAATTTAGGAAAAGGTGAGGAACAAGAGAAGCGATATTAGCACTGAGACAGATCCTTGAGAGAAGAATTACACTGAATTGAAATACTATAGCAACATAGATCTAGAGAAGTCTTTCGATAAAGTAGATTAGAAAATCTTATTCAAGATATTAAAAGAAAAAGTAATTGACTAGAAAGATAGACGGCTCATTTTCAACTTGTATAAAGATCAAACAATAGAATTAAATGTAAATGGATCTGTAAAAGTAGAAAAAATAAGGAGAGGAGTGAGACAAGAATGCCCCTTATCGTCCTATCTATCCAATCTCTTTATTGAATCGAGCATAGATATAATGAAAACCAAGATCAATGGAGTGAAAATAAATGGTCAACATATACACTGTATTCGCTTGGAGGATGACAATGCTATCTTAGCAGTCTGAAAATGACATAAATAATATGCTAAAAATTTTATTAAACTGCACTGGATAAATTTAAAATTAAATTAAATTCCATAAAATCAAAACAATGCTTTTATGTAAAATGCTCTCAGATCTAAACCTTCATATACAAATAATAATACACGATTATAACAAGTCCGAAAATTCTTCTACCTTGTAAGTATCATAGCTTTCAATAACAAATCAACTCCTGACATCAGAAGAAGAATACAATTAATAAAGCAAGCATTCAAAAACAATACTCAGCTTCTCACCAATACACATCTGAGCATTAACTGTAAAAGATTGGTTAAAATATTTGTTTTGAGTGTGTTTTCATATGGAAGTGAAACATGGACAATTGACAAGAAAGACAGAAGCAAATTATTGCTGAGATATTTCCTTATTGGGTTCTTATTATAAGATTTTGTTGATGCTCTATTTGGAAATAATAACACCAAATGCTCAAAACTTCTTAAGACAGTATGAATACACGGGAATTATAGAAAGCAATAATATTTGAAATTGTACAAAAATGTGTAACAAGACAAGACTTTATTTAAAGTATGTGTCCTACAAAGATTACTACTGGCTTTTGAGGACTGAGGCAGGGTGATGATATTTTATATTCCTAAATATATTTATACCTTCTTCAATATTGTCATGTAGTAATGATTCAGGTAAATCTTTTGGTGGAATTTTATTCATTTCTAAAAATATAAACAATTAAACGGTTAATATATTTAAAATTATGCTTGTTCATATTACTAAATAAATTTGTACCTTCTTCAATATTGTCATGTAGTAATGATTCAGATAAATCTTCTGATGGAATTTTATTAATTTCTGAAAATATAAGCCATTTACTTTTAATATTACTATCTTCAAAAAAAAAATCATATAATGATTTAAGGAAGGTTATTTTTAACACGGTTATATTAGCTTAAAACAATATGCGTGGGGGCTTTGTGCCATATTTTTCGTATATTAAATATTCCGACGGTTTTTTCACAATAATACTAGTATTTTTCGTTCATTATTCTTTTAAGCTTATTATAAAAATAATTTTTAACTTTTTAGTTCGATATGCTTTAAAAGCGTGTTTTTTAGTTTTTTTTAAATATACAGAGTGATTAATTTATTATAAACCACTTGATTACTCGCATTATAATTAGAGTAATTAACAAAAAAACGTTGCTTCTATTTTTTGATTTATCAGCTATAATTTACTATTTAGAATTTTATCAGGAATAAATATTTAGATAAATGCTAATTCGTTAAACATCTAATATCCTATCCTTACAAATAAAAACAAAATTAAAAAAAATAAAATCATATATTAGAATTAATTTACTATCATAAATATTAAATTTAATTTAAATTTGAATATAGTTGGGCTTATTTTTGCGAGAATGCCTGATTTTTGTATAGGCTATTTTTAAAAATCTAATTAAAAACAGGAATGTTTTAAAGAGAACACTTACGCATGTATAAAAAATAATAACAAAAAAATATTTGAAATTTAAAGAAATCTCAAATAGATAAAATTTAATGTTAGTAAACTATTAATTCATAACAATAACTGTTAACTAAAAACTAAATTTGTTTCTATAACCAAAAACATGTAATAATATTGGACATTTAGTTAGGTCTGTAATTAATAATTTAAATAATGAAATTATTATTTTATCATATCATATTGAGTGTTATGCCTTTTTATGACCATGTTGTGACGAAGTGCACAACATCGTCACTATTTCGGGTGTGTCTAAACGTCTTGCAAAGCTAAGTTTCATTGTTTAAAACCAATGGCTCACTGGGGGCTAGAACTGGCAACTTTTTAGTGATTTCTTTTTTTCTTTTTCAATTTATTTCTTCATAATAGTAAATGAGATATTTTGACAGTCCAGATTTTTGGCTCGGGTTAACTTCCCTTTTATTATTTAATATATTCCTCTTAATTTAACCTAACTACAAACTCTTTTTCTTGTGTGTTCCATCTTCAATGGATTCGTGTAATTCTGTATTTTTACACATCAAATATCATCTTTTCCTATTTTATAAGGTACGAGAAATGGCTTTGTATAAGGACATTCCAATTACTCATTATATGTGAGATATTTTCACAAAGTTTTTTCAGATTTATTTCAAAGATTCATTGAACATCAGTGATCACTTAAATTAGTTTATAATTATTTCTACATATAATATTGAGTTAACGCGGTAATGTTCAAAAAACATTTTCTTTATTATTTAATAGCTCATTTTAAATATGACAAAATTGAAAACGTAGTTATTCTTTAATTCCCACTATTTTTGAAAATATTAAACTGATTTCAATGCTTTATTTTCTATCGAATTTAATTTTAGTTAATATGTGGTTAAATATAAATGATTATAACTATAACAATTGAAGTTATATGCGGTTGATCTATAAAACATACTGTAGACCGTATCTAGATTAAGGAACAGGAATAAAATACCCGCGGATACTTTAACTATTAACTTATACTTAATATACTTTAACTTTAACTATTCCCACAATGATGATAAATTTTACAGGTAAGATTAATATGAAAATTTAACAAACATATCACGGATGGTATTGGAACACATCCGTTAATGTTAATCGGAAATTAATGAAAAACACTAGGGTAGTCTAGACACTCACTATTTAGTGTTGACTAGAGGGAAGAGAATTAAATGATGTAATTAAAAAAAAATTATCATATTTATCAAATTGTAATTATTGTCTTGAAAGTAGATTTTTTATAGAGGACAAGTCATGGGAACGTATTTTTTTTTCAATCGTATAGTACACAAAAAAAATCTCAAATTTGTTTTATTTTTAAATTATGTATATGTACCGTTGTTTTACGAAATCAGCATTTTTTATGGGAAAATGTATGATTGTTAGTTTTTATGTCCCATAAAATTTGACTTCTTTTTATGAATATTGTAAAGATCATATTTAATTTAAAAAAAATGTATTTCTAATGATAGATTTTAGGGGTAGTTTTTGAAAATTAAATAGGAACCTATTTTCATATTTTAACTATTAAATGGAAAAATTTGATCTGAATAAAATTTCAATTAGAGTATAACCATTTTTGTGATATATCTTTGTGATTTTTTGGCATTTTAGAAGGGTGAGGTGTTGGGATGTGAAGTATTATTTAGAAACGCTTAAACCTAGAAAAGTATAGGGAAAATAAAAATACGCTGTGTATGATAGTTATATATTTGGATTAAAGCGTATGAAAGAGTACTGATAAAGGTCTTAAAGTAGACGTTGATGAGGAGAGGAGTCTCTAAAGATATATTGATATCATAAAAGATATGTACAATGGTACTTGTACCAGGGGTAATAGTGTAACTGTAGATTTTAGAATAAGAAAAAGAGTGCAACAAGGTTCTGCTTTAAGCTCTTACTTATTTTCTATAGTGATTGATGAAATTACTAGAGAAATTTATGGAGAGGTGACGTGGTGAATGTTATTCGTTATCGATAGAGTGTTAATGGGAGAAAATGGGAGGAAATTAATCAAAGTTTAGAGATGTGGAGATCAGCTCTTGAAGGAAAAGGATTAAGAATAAGTATGAGTAAGATAAAGTATATAGAGCACGAGTTTAAAAAAAGAGAACACGAGCTAATGATTGTAGAAGAGAATGGTAAAATGGATGAGTAGAGTGAATATAGAAGTTAGGATAAGAAACGAACATATAGGAGGAAGTATAAGTGTAGCGTCAATCATAGATAAGATAACACAAAATAGACTTAGGTGGTTTGGTGATGTTATAAGGATAGAGGAATCAGAAGCTGTGAGAACAGTTATACAATGTTGAAGGAAGATGAGATAGAGGAAAACTAAAAAAGAGATGGAGGGATGTTATCTAATGAGATATAAGGACACCTTATGTGTGCGTAGAGGATGTGGGAGATCATGTCAAATGGAAGTTTAGGATAAGGATGACGGACCTCAAGTAGTTGGGATAAAGGCAAGCAAAAAGAAAATGACAATTTTAAGTTAATAAAATTTAAAAAAATTGTGAAATTTTGCTAATTTAAAAATAGTTATGTTTGTAAAATTTTACCATACTATTGGAAATTTTCGATTTTCCAGTATAGGACCTTTAAAGAAAGATGATTTCTGTTAATTTGACGTATTGTTATGCTAAATTGGTTCAGTAAGAACTAAAAAAAGTGGCAACAGACATAAAAAAATAAAAGCAAAAAAAAACTAAGTAAAAAAATAGTATTGAGATGGTCTCAATCGCAATGAAGCTTACTTATTTTTTTTTTTAAGTGTTTTTGTAATGGAAAGTGATAATGGGAGATATAATAACCCAACCAATTTCCATTATTAATTTTACAAAAATAACATATTATTTTCTTATTTCTAAAAAAATGTAAAAAATCGTGAAACGTGGATTTGGAATGGCAGCGAGAATATAATAAAACGTATTTATTAAAGTAAAATAAATATACGTAACTGCGCTTCGACTGTTCTGAAAGTGATGGGAAAATTGTCTCATGGGTATCTAAATTGCACTGAAAACCTAAACCATCATATCTTTTTTTTATTGCCCATTGCACTATTAGTTTAATTCTGTTTCTTAGAAAATGATAGACCTCCATTTCAGTACCTCTGAATCCTTTGTTTTTTAATATATTATATTGGTGATTTGTGTGTTGCCCAAATGAAGAAAATTTCAAGTTTTTTATCGGATAACAAATTTCCTTGTTAACATTTAGTTCAGGGTGTCTTTTGGAAAAAAAATGTTTTAATGTGATTAATATATTAGATGTATTCAACGAATTGACTCGTGTTGATGTTAAGAAGTTTAAAAATGTATTATGTTGTAAGGATGTTATCACTTTATTCAATATAAAATCATTCTTTATATGGTTACTACGAGGTATAGTATGGATTTTATCTATAGATTCTAAAGCTCCTTTCATCAATTTTACTAACGGAATTAAGCTACTAGATATAGTATCTAATAACTCAGTGGTGCAATTGATCGCATTGACATTTTTGTTTTCACTATTTAACAACGATTCACAATGATTTTGAAAGCGATCTATAAAAGTGAAAATTGTTTTTAAAATATTTGCATACGAACATCCTAATAAAATTGTGGCTAATCGTATATAAGTACTACAATTGTTAGTTGTAATAGCTCTCCCGACTATTTGGTTACGTTCGTATTTGCGCCCATTATACACAATACAATTAACTTCATTTATATTTTTCCATTGAGCCATTTCTAACAAGTTACCCAACAATTCCACCTTTTGTTTTGAATATGTTGGTGCTTCAATTTGCAAGACAACAGAGAATAATATGAAAAATGTTATTGTATTCAAAGTTCTCGACATTATAATATTCACTATTTAATTTTAAACTAAACAATAGATATAAAAAAAATGTACACAGCTACACAAGACAAATTGAAATAAAAACTGCTTAAAGTTAATATTAAGCCATTATTTTTGATGATTTAAATTTTTATTAAGTCATATTTATAAATATAATATATATATTTACTTCACTTTTAGTTCAATTTATTTATTGCTCATATTTTTTTATAGATTTTTTTGTTATATGATTTAGTAAAATATAAGGTAAAGTGGAATGTTGTTTGTACAGTTGGGTCATTCTATATGTAACCACATAATGTGTGTTCGGCTATAGTTCAGAAATTTTTGAAATTTTTATCATAGACTTCTTGAAGGTCATTGCAAACAATTGGTACCGTGACTATGTTTTAACCCTTATTTCCATCTTCTAGTAATCGTTGTCTGTGCGCTGCGGTGGTCGATATACGTTTAGGGTATTCGTGCAATGCGGTGCCCTACTGTTATGTGCCGTTGATACTTTGCGGATACCATGACATGTTGAGGGCTACTTGCGCAGTATTCACAGGTTAAGCCACACGACGAAACGCATATAGAATTATTTGTTTAACCAGCGTAGTCTAGTCATGCAGTTAGGTTAACTATATCAAATTATGATAACATACATACCGAAAAATACATTTTACAGGTACCTGTTAATTTACCTGAACTTTTTGGGAATTTCGAGTAATACATCGTATTCCATTGCATCAACTTAAAAAAACAGTAGCACAGTGGGGTCGAGGCACAGTGTAGACAAGGCATAGATGGGACAAGTATAGATGATATTTGACAGTTATTAAAATCACTATCATAAGAAACGCTTCGATGCAAATCTGTAGATAGTGTTTCATTTAGAGAAATTGGTGGATTATTCCAAAAGCAACATCAACTCTTATTTCTTTGATTATATCCTAATTAGTAGTTCTTTGATTTTAAAATATAATATATAAATAAATACTAATTATAATTGTTAAATTTAGTATGAAATTGATATTCAATAATTTAATATTGTAATTTAAACGGAGAAATTATAAAAATAATAAAGAAGTTGTATTTTACTTTATTTTTACGTGTATAAAAATTTAAAGGGCTTGATACAATAAATTTCAATAAAAACTGTTTGTTACTATAAATGCACTGAACTACAAGGAACTTTCATCAGTAACAAAAATATACCATTCTAAATCAACTTTTCGCGATGTTTTCAAATCTGCAATTAGACTTTTTCTATCACTTCTAAGTTTTAATATTATTAAAAATTAGTGTTTACATATAAAAAATCGCATCGAAGCTAAAAAATTGGCTATTTAAGCTAACTCAAATTTAAAAATTACTTTTTCGACTTTAAAAAAGCAAAAAAAATTAAATAAGTTTAATTTCTTATGTCTTATGAACTTTATTCTATGTCAATTAAATTATATAATATTCATGATAGTCAATATATTCTCCTAATAAGATATTTTAAAATAAAATAAAATAAAAAACCTAGAATTTTAATAGAAAAATAGCATATTTTTGAATACGGTAGCCATTTGCGCATAGAAGATAGGTCGTCGAGACAATTTTTTTTTTTCATTTTATAGTACATAAAATAAGCTTTAATTTGATATATGTTTAAAGGACGCAGTATTTCCGGAACATTTTCAAAAATTAAGTTGAAAAAGTTAGTTTTTGTAAAAAAGTTGCTATTTTAAATCCCCCCCAATGAGCAGGTTAAGTGTTAGATTTTCAAAAAAAATGATATAAAATGAAAGGGAAATATCTAAAGTTTTAGTATAAAAAAAAATTATGTTAATTTGTTAATTTTTGAAAAAGTTATGGAAGTTTAAAAAAAAAAAGTGAAAAAAATGACAAAATTTATCGATTTTTATATGAATGTCAAATCTTCAAACATACGCGTAGAAAGTAAAACTTTTTCAACTTGACTTTTGAAAATGTTTTTACAATACTGCACTTTTGTATGTACATTAAATTACTAAAGTAACACAAAAAAATTTCTAAAGTGTTTTCATTTTACAAATGATTGAGTGTCACATGATAAATAATCACTCTTTATTGTAATATTTCAGACTAATTAATAAATTTTAAACTATGATTTTTCATAAAACTAAATAAATTTGTACCTTGTTCAATATTGTCATGTGATGGTAATGTTTTAAATAAATCTTCTGATAAAATTATATTCATTTCTGAAGGTATAAACAATTGAAAGTTTAATAAATTTTAAACTATGATTTTTCATAAAACTAAATAAATTTGTACCTTTTTCAGTATTATCATGTGGTAATGTTTTAGATAAATCTTCTGATAAAATTATATTCGTTTCTGAAAACATAAACAATTGAAAGTTTAATAAATTTTAAACTATGATTTTTCATAAAACTAAATAAATTGGTACCTTTTTCAGTATTATCATGTGGTAATGTTTTAGATAAATCCTCTGATAAAATTATATTCACTTCTGAAAATATAAACAATTAATCGTTTAAGTAAGTTGAGTGTTTAAGTATTTAAATAGTTATTTAAATTCTATGATTATAATATAATAATATATATTATTTCCTATATAATTTTTCTTTTTAGCTTCGATGCGAATTTGAGAAGATATTAAATTTACTAAACTAGGTTTTTTTTTGTGTCTGTTGCCACTTTTTCTCAGTTCTCACTGGAATGATTTTTTTCAACGATACATAAAATGATATTTAGTTGAAAAAATTTCTCTCGTTCCCCGTAAATTTTTGGCTAAATCATCAAAAAAATTACGATTTTTAGAACAATTTTTTACGTTTTTTTTTCACTTTTTTTTTTAAATTGCCATAACTTATGTTGAAAAATCAACAAATCAAAATAATTTTTATTATATAAAAATCTCAGGTATTTCCCTTTTATTTTATATAATTATTTTAAATTTTGAACCTGTACCTACCCACAGATGAGGATACAAAATAGTCAACTTTTTCAACTTAATTTTTGAAAACGAACCGGAAATTCTGTGTTTTTTAAACATATGTTAACTTAAAGCTTTTGTTTTGTACCATAAATTTAAAAAAAAATCGTCCCGACGACCTATCTTCTTTATGCTATCATATTTAAAAAGACATCCTAATTTAAAATTTAAAATTTGTTATAACTTTTTTGAAAAATGTATGTATCAACACAAATTTTTTTTTTTTTAAATACATATATATATACCTCTTTTGTTATTTTTGTACTACATATTGCGATAACTTTTTGAATAATGAACAAAGCAAAATAATTTTTTTTTATAATAAAACCTTAGGTATTTGCCTTTTATTTTATATAATTTTTTCAAAATTTGATCCTTTATTTGACTAAGGCAGGGGATTCAAAATACCAACTTTTCACAAGTCAATTTTCTCAACTTTGGAAATTATTATAATATATCTAATGTATGATTTTTGTTTCCTAAAATTTTTATGTGGCATATGTATGTTGTTCTAAACATTTATTCTAGAATAAAATTTATCTTACTCATATATATTTATATAATTTTCGACTGTATGTAAAATTAGAATATTATAGACTGGTAGTAGCACACACAAATAGAGTTAAAAAATTAATAAATTACAAAGTAAAATTATTTACTTTTGTAGTTGAACACTTTTATCATATAAAATCTAATTCGACAATAAATACTTCAAAAATATTAGAAATTAATGATTTTAATTGTTTGTATGGAAAAAGCTGGTTAAGCTACTTTTTATTTGAATAAGAAATATTTTTTCGATTTTTAAGAATGATAACTTAAACAAAATACCAATTGTAATCATTTAACGTATCGTTGAAAAAAGTAGGTTTAGTGAGCGTTGGCAAAATAAATCGTAGCCACAAAAAGAACCACATAGTATAATAATATTAACATGAATATAAATTTCTTCCCACGAGGAGAGACTATAGTGACAGGATTCTTTATATTTATTGAAGTTATTGAATCTAAATGAGATAAATATCAAATGATTTGAAAAATTTATTCTAACTCAAAAAAATGCAAAATATTAGTTGCCATAAACGGATTTGAACCTCGTACCCTAAGCGTGAAAGACACATGTGTTACCGATTCGGCAACTGTTCGTTGTTTTTGCCACAAGATAAAATTGGCCATTTAAGCTAACTCAAATTAAAAAATTACATAAGATATTTTAAAATAAAATAAAATACAAAACCCAGGATTTTAACACAAAAATAGCATATTTTTGAATACGGTAGCCATTTGCGCATAGAAGATAGATCGTCGAGACAAATTTTTTTTTTCATTTTATAGTACATAAAATAAGCTTTAATTTGATATATGTTTAAAGGACGCAGTATTTCTGGAATATTTTCAAAAATTAAGTTGAAAAAGTTAGTTTTCGTAAAAAAGTTCCTATTTTAAATCCCCCTTGTGAGCAGAATAAGTGTTAGATTTTCAAAAAAAATGATATCAAATGAAAGAGAAATATCTAAAAATTTAGTATAAAAAAAATTATGTTGATTTGTTGATTTTTGAAAAAGTTATGGAAGTTTTAAGAAAAAAAGTGAAAAAAATGACAAAATTTACCGATTTACCGAATTACAAAATTTGTAATTTTTTTGAAGATTTCCACATTTGCGGAGAACGAGGGAAAATTTTTCAATGTTTAAGGGTAATGTCTTCAACTAGGTACGATTTGTGATCTTTTGGTGTATTGTTGAAAGAAATCGGTCCAGTGAGAACTGAAAAAAGTGGCAACAGATAAAAAAAAAAAAAAAACACATCATGGTAAAATAACTTCAGCTTCGCATCGAAACTAAAATGATGATAAATTTTAAAACTTTAAAAATTGTATTTTTTCAATTTTTAAGGGTTATATGTTCAACTAGATATGATTTGTAGTCTTTTAATGTATCGTTAGGTAAAATTAATCAAGTGAGTTCTGAAATAAAGTAGCGACAGGCATAAAAATAAAATAAATTATGTGTTAGTATTTCCGGAACTCTTTTAAAAGTTAATTTTTTGTGAAAAAGTTGTCATTTTAAATCCCTTCTTGTTGACAGGTAAAGGTCAAATTTATAAAAAAAATATACAAATTGATAGATTCATAAGGTATCTATAAATTATATTAATTTGGTCAATTTTATTTGCTAATTAACTATTAGCTATATCAAATCGATATACTCTTTTTTTTTTTGAATCTAAAACATTGATAAATATGGTTTTGGAATGAAATCCAAAATAAAATAAATATTTTTAAAAGTAAAATAAATATACGTAACTGGGCTTCTTCTGCTCTTGCAGTGATGGTATAAATGTCTCATAGGTATTTATTTTGTACTGAAAACCTAAATCTATGTACCTGTTTTTGATTGTCCATTGTGCTTCATTTTCGATTTTTATTCTTAGAAAATGATAGAATTTTTCGTTTTCTTTGGTTTTTAAATTTTCATATTCGTTATTTAATATTTGAATATCTGAAATAAAATCAATGGGGTCTTTAAAATGACAAAAGTTCATGTCGATATTTAGTTCCTTGCGTCTTATGTAAAAAAATTTTTTTATTGTAATTAATTTATTTTCAATAGTCGATGAATGGATTACTGAAGGTGATAAAAAGTTTAAAAAAGACTCATCTGATAAGGATGATAACATTTTATTCATTGTATAGTTTTTCTTTGAACCTTTTATCCAAGGCTCAACATGTAATGTGTCCATATAATCTAAAGCTCCTTTCATTAGCTTTACTAACGGACATAAGATAGTAGAAATAGTATTTAATAACATAATAGTGCAATGGATCGCTTTGACATTTTGGTTTTCGCTATGTATTAACGATTTACAATGTTCTTGAAAGTAATCTATAAGTATGAAAATTCTTTTTAAAACATTTGCATACGATCATCTTAAATATATCGTAGATAATCGTATGCGTTTCAAGCAATTTTTAGGTGTAATATCTATCCTTTCTATTTCATCTAGATTATAATTGCATCCATAATAAAAAATAAAATCAACTTCATTTATACTTTTCCATTGATCAGTTTCTAAAAAGTTTTTTATACATGCCGCCTTCCATTTTGAACTGGTTGGTGCTTCAATTTGTAAAAACACAGAAAAAAATATGAAATACGCAATTGGAAACAAAATTGTCGTCATTTTAATATTCCTTTAGAATTTAGTGACTCAACAATAGCTTTAAGAAAAAACTATGTAACTACATGTAATGTATTAGAAAAAACTGCTTGATAAATACATTAAATTTTAATTTCATTTAATTTATATCATAATTTTCATACTGAGTTGGAAAAATATCTAAGGCGACGTTGAGGTTATTTGTATTGTTGGGATATTTTTTTTAATCGAGAACAAGTTTTTATGCAGTTGCAAATTATTTAAAAGCAAATAAAATAATAATATATAATAATAAAATATTATTTATAATATATGGCATTAGAAAAAACATCGATAGTTCGATACTGTAATATTATATTATTACTTATAATATTAAAATATTATATTATGTTATCTTTTGTACATGTATGTCATATATTATGAATTCACAAGATCACCAAAACAGGGTTCCCTTATTTAAAACTTAAAATAATCAATAAATTAGACAATTAAATCTGATTATCGTACAGATTCAAAGTCACGCCCATGTGTGAGTTTTCAATTAAGTCCAGCCAATCACATTTAACTATTAATTAAGATCTACAGTTTCTAAGATCACACTAGGAATCGTTACACGACCCTCGTCTACTATAAAAACCCATTTTTTCCTATTAAAATCAGTTCTTTCGCAGATTTTGTGTATTTTTAAATCGCCGAAAGAACTGATTTTAATAGGAAAAAATGGGTTTGAAAAATGAATTATCTTCTTCTCCTCTCCGTAAATACACTATTATGTAATTAATAGTACATTTAATTGAAAGATGTTGAAATTTTTACATTCAAAATTGGTAAGACATGCAATATTTATTACAATTTATTTTAAATGAACAATATTAAAAACCTAATGGTTCTACTTGTCAGGGACAGTGTGAAGGGTGGGGGTAGAAGTAGTAAAGACAGTTGCCTAGGACTCAGCGGTTCTGAAATCATAATATCATTGAATAATTCTCAAAAGTTTTAATTTATTTTACCCAGGTTTCACAAAAATCGCACCATTAGTGTTGCCTTTAAAACCTTATTGCACTGTATGTAACATTCAAAACTTTTTTTATATTTCAAAGATTGATTTTTTTTTATTCATTTAAATGATGTTGACATTATGTCTTCAAATTTTTAACTACACATTTTTAAATAATAAAACACATGTTGTAATCACATTTTTTTGTTGCTTTTGGTTTTTTTAGTTTTTAAATACATATTTTAACTCAATTTTATTTTATTTTATTTTTATTTTAACATTATTACAGGCAAAGCCCAAAATTAATTACAATCTTCATAAATATATTAGTAATACATTATCATTCTTAGTAACAATCAAAATACATTAGCAAATAAACATTTTTTTTTTTTTTTTTTTTTTGAATATATATGAATCATTAAAATTAAAAAGCACAAACAAAAACGAGGCTTAATTAATACGAACTAAAAGCTGGATCATTATTGGCCAAACGCATGAGACGAGTCATTGGGGCGGAATCTAGGAAATGAGAAGGAGTAGGGGGAATGAGAAAGGTAGTATTAGAGCGGGTGGTACGAAGAGGAATTTTAAATTTTAAAAGGCTGAGAAGCTGGTTGGAATCTATTTTGTTGGATAAGAGGTTGTTTAGGAAGGAGAGGTTAGAATTATGTCGTCGATCAGAAAGACTGGAGAGATGTAGGGATAAAAGGACAGGTGAGTAATCATGAGGATTATGGGGAATATTTAGGCGATATGCAATAAGGTTTAAAAATTTTCTTTGAACCCTTTCAATTGAAGCCCTTGCGACAGCTGTTTGGGGATCCCAAAGAACAGAGCCGTATTCAAGGATAGGGCGAATAAGGGAGGTGTAAAGAGTTTTGAGAGAGTTGGATAGTTTAAATTCTTGAGTGATACGGGAGATGAAACCTAGGAGTTTAAGAGCTTTACAAGTAATATGCTGAATATGTTTGTTAGGAGAAAGATTATGTGTGAAAATAAATCCAAGATCACGTATTGACTCAGAGGAACGAATTAAAGGAATGTTATTTACGGAATAAGGAAAAACGATATGAGGACTACGTCGGAAGAATGACATGATAGAACATTTTTTAATATTAAGAGAAAGGCCGAGGGATTCACTCCAGTTTGTAAATCGCAGTAGATCTTTTTGTAGTAGATGGCAGTCGGATATGGATTTGATACGGAGGAAAAGTTTCATGTCGTCAGCAAATATTAGTAATTTTGCATTATGGAGGATTGATGGAGCGGAATTTATGAAAAGGGCAAATAGAAGAGGAGAAAGAATTGCACCTTGGGGTACGCCAGAAGATCTATAGAAGGTATTTGAGGTTGAATTGGAAGTAGAAACATAGTATTGACGATTAGATAAATAAGAATGAAACCAGGCAAGAAGAGGATCTCCAATACCTAGAGTATCTAGAGTGTGTATTAAAATTCTGTGGTCTACTTTATCAAATGCTTTTTTGATAAATTTTTGATTTTTTTTTATTCATTTAAATGATGTTGACATTATGTCTTCAAATTTTTAACTACACATTTTTAAATAATAAAACACATGTTGTAATCACATTTTTTTGTTGCTTTTGGTTTTTTTAGTTTTTAAATACATATTTTAACTCAATTTTATTTTATTTTATTTTTATTTTAACATTATTACAGGCAATTAATAACAGGAATTTATGAAAAGGGCAAATAGAAGAGGAGAAAGAATTGCACCTTGGGGTACGCCAGAAGATCTATAGAAGGTATTTGAGGTTGAATTGGAAGTAGAAACATAGTATTGACGATTAGATAAATAAGAATGAAACCAGGCAAGAAGAGGATCTCCAATACCTAGAGTATCTAGAGTGTGTATTAAAATTCTGTGGTCTACTTTATCAAATGCTTTTTTGATAAATTTTTGATTTTTTTTTATTCATTTAAATGATGTTGACATTATGTCTTCAAATTTTTAACTACACATTTTTAAATAATAAAACACATGTTGTAATCACATTTTTTTGTTGCTTTTGGTTTTTTTAGTTTTTAAATACATATTTTAACTCAATTTTATTTTATTTTATTTTTATTTTAACATTATTACAGGCAATTAATAACAGGAATTTATGAAAAGGGCAAATAGAAGAGGAGAAAGAATTGCACCTTGGGGTACGCCAGAAGATCTATAGAAGGTATTTGAGGTTGAATTGGAAGTAGAAACATAGTATTGACGATTAGATAAATAAGAATGAAACCAGGCAAGAAGAGGATCTCCAATACCTAGAGTATCTAGAGTGTGTATTAAAATTCTGTGGTCTACTTTATCAAATGCTTTTTTGATAAATTTTTGATTTTTTTTTATTCATTTAAATGATGTTGACATTATGTCTTCAAATTTTTAACTACACATTTTTAAATAATAAAACACATGTTGTAATCACATTTTTTTGTTGCTTTTGGTTTTTTTAGTTTTTAAATACATATTTTAACTCAATAAAATTCTATGTTTATATGAAACTAATCAGATGAATATTATGACCATTTCACTGATTCATATGCTCTCTTTCTATAGTATTACTTAATAATGCGGACACTTTGTTATGGTGGAACTTTATTCAATTAAAAACATAAACGAAAAATACTAGTGTAATCTTACTGTAAATATGTTGAAAACATTTTTTAATTTATTTAAAATATTACTAATTTTGTACAATGCATAATGATTAGCATGTAGTTAAGATAAAAGTGAAAGAGAAGTAGAAGACATTAAAAAGTTTCATAAGCCTTACCATGGTCGTTGTTCAATTATATTAATTATTTTTATATAAACTAGTATTGGATTATTGTGTATATTAAGAGGTTACAAGTAATCTGATGGTAAGTTCTATTTTATTATTATAATACATTTTTGAATAATTATCAATTTTTAATATAGAATACATAAAATAAAATGAGAATATTTGTTCAATTAAATTAAATAGTACACTATTCAATCGCATTGTACCTATTATAGTAAAATATAATTTAAAAAATATTACGTAAAATTAATAATTCAAATAGAATACAGTGAAAAAAAATGTAAAAGTTTTTTTTAGTCGATGGAATTCGATCACGAGTACGTACGTGTCATAGGATTACGTGTTCTCAACTCGACCATACACACTGCGATCTCAGGAAGACAAATGACCCTAATTTAAAAATATTTTAAATCAATTTTCTCGACTTGGGGGGGGGGCATTGGCAAAACATTCAAAATACCACTGATTCTGTATTTAATATAGATTAGCAAAAAATTGCGAAAAACTGCAATCACAGCGATGAATAAAATTTTGTGGACCCTGATCAAGTATGATTTTTATGTATTTCAATTTACTGAAACTGAATTTGAACGTTAATTAGCCCGTTGAGTCGTCAACATTTGAAAAATAGCAAAAAAACCCAAAAATTGCAATAAATCATGAAAAATCGAAACTATCGAGATGAAAACAATTTTTTGGATTCAGATTGAGTATGATTTTTATGTATTTTATTCTACTGAATTTGAATCTGAAGTTTTCTTGTCCCATTAACGTTTTAAAATTTAAAAAACCGAGCACAGGGGGGTCGCGGCACAGTGATGACGTAGCATAGTTGGATCAAGTATAATGATATCTGACAGTGATTAATCACGATCAAAAATAAACGCTTCGATGAAAATCTTTAGATAGCGTTTAATTTAAAAAAAAACGGTAGCACAGTGGGGTCGCGGCATAGTGGAGACATTGCATAGTAGGGTCCAGTATAGATTTAATCTGACAGTGATTAAAATCACTATCATAAGAAACGCTTCGATGCAAATCTGTAGATAGTGTTTAATTTTAAAAAATTGATGGATAATTGCAAAAGCAACATCAACTTCTATTAAAATAAAATACAAAACCCATAATTATCATACAAAAATAGTATATTTTTCAATATGGTAGCCATTTGCGTATAGAAGATAGATCGTCGGGACAAATTTTTTTTTT